AGGCAAGCAATCCTGGTGGGGAACAGCGACTTGGCCGGACCGTAAGGAATTGCATATGCTGCAGAAATTTGATAGATGTTCGCACAGATCTCAGGTTGTCCGCTGCATGCCGATCTTCCTATTGCCATGTGAGAAATCTCCCGTGAATGACTTGGACGTGCCGTTTAAGCCCTTTCCCAGAAAACGGTGACCAGTCTGAGGTGTTTTATAGGCGGGGTCCGATTTCGGCGCCCCGTTGTCGCCGTCGCCATGTTGGTGTGGTCGGGCTGGAGACGTGTGGTGGTCGTAGGTGTAGGGCGTTCGTTGGTGGTCTACTTTCACATGTAGACAAGTCATCTAGGCATATAGATGTTGATAGTAATATGAAACAGCGCATGGGACAGAACTACAGGCGGGCTGTTCTATATCGACATCTGCTGATTGTTGCTGTGGGCGTGGGAGACGGTCACGATGCTGGATTTTAATGATGTTTTAAGTCAGGACCATTCAGCTAAACTGAGTCAGTGGCCAACAAGTTGGAAAATGGAAACCGTTGCGGGCCAGCGGGCTAGCTAGAGCGTCTGTAACCCGTCATGCTGTCGGAGGTAGCTGGCGCCGGTAGCTACCTACATAGTGGCCATTGTTTCAAATCCTCCTTGAGCCAGTTTTAAAGGAAAATCTTACTGGTCCCGTAGGTTAACCAGTCAAATAAATTTATTTGGAGAAGTAAAGGGAGCCGGTGTGACACTTACGGGATCACTCAGTGATTGGGAACTGAGCCTTCATGTTGAAAGGAGGGGGGTGGGGGAAGATCTAAATGAGAAGTAGAAACTTCCTAATTTAAAAAAAAAAAAAAGTGCGCGCGATAAAGTGAACGTTAAAAGCCTTTCTAAGCATAAAATAACAATCAACGGATAATTATATCCAAAGGTGCCGGACTGGATTCCATTTCTGATATTGAATCGATTACACACGATAGCACGGAATATAAGAGTAGACTTCCTACTCTATATGGCATAATGGCACAGAATGAGAGTGATAATGATCTTGCTCCAAACATGCCGTACTGAAACTTTAAAACTACATTGAACTTAACAAGTCTCTCCATCTGTTAAAATATTCTTGGATCTTTTTTTTATCGTCCGTTTGTCTCTTCTCATGTTGCCAAGTCTGCTTGAACAGTGCACGGAGGACAGAGCGGTCCCTACTATTTACTGTCTGAGATGGGAAGCTTCCATGTTCCACATGTGGGTTCCGGGTGCCCAGTTTTTGTGAAGGAAGAATAGGTCAGCTGTTCTCTGACAAGCATGTCGTAAATATTCATATGTATAGGGCTGAGAAAGACAGAAATCACAACTTAACTGTAAACTTCCATAGTTAAACAGTTTCATCTTGTTATGCAGTTTGACAAGATTCTGGTTAAACATTTCTAGCTAGTCATGCTATTTGACACGATTCCGGTTAAACAGTTTCATCTTGTTATGCAGTTTGACACGATTCCGGTTAAACAATTCTAGCTAGTCATGCTATTTGACACGATTCCGGTTAAACAATTCTAGCTAGTCATGCAGTTTGACACGATTCCGGTTAATCACTTTTATCTAGCTAGCGCAGTAAGGTAATTTACTATTTAAAAAATAAAAACACTAAAGGTTAAGATACAAACTATTTTATTTTATTGTTCAAGAAGCAGTGGGTGCTGAAGTTTACGTTGTATTGGCATTAAAAATAATCAACAAACGACTCGGTAGATGGTTTGGAATATCGTAGCAGGCGAAGAAACACGCTAGCCCACTTCATTTAGCATATTTCGCGACTAAAGTAAAGGCCCCTTTTCCACGCTTCAATTTGTATTGGGTGTATAGGGCTAGGCCTATCAATTGACACTCGGTGTGTGATGTGGTCAACATCACACCTTCCGACTTTACTTTCCCAGGACTTTTACCTGGTACCCATAAAAGGCTGGGACACATGGAAGTCAAGGTCATTAAAAGTCTGGCTCCGTTTGGACCTGAACCCCTGACCTTCCAATCCGCAGGCGAGCGACACGGCAGCGGCTCCCATTTGGCGACTAAGGTCGTCAGTAAATATTGTCGGTGGAAGCATTTGTCCGCCCCTCGCCGCTTGCCATCGCCACTGACTGTGCCCCAGACGATAGCTCTCACCAAAGCATCGAATTACTGGCATGTGATCCGCGCTGCTCACGATGATTATATCATATGCTTGTAATGAGACCCTTTCCCTCCACCATTAGGCACTGCACCATTATCAGTGGTGACATTCTGTCAGTGCGGGATCCACATCGTTCGCCCAGGTTCGTTGTTTGCTTCCAATACAGTGTGAGCTCACTCCGCAAGAACTCTGTAATTATTGATTGATTTCTTGATTTTTCAGCTTTTTTTCGGTTGTTTTGCCCTCATGATTTTTGTTGTTTCGATCTATCTGTCTATATTTGATCGTTTTCTTTCTTTCTTTCTTTCTTTCTTTTTTTTTTTCTTTCTTTTCTTTCTTTCTTTCTTTCTTTCTTTCTTTCTTTCTTTCTTTCTTCTTTCTTTCTTTCTTTCTTTCTTTTTTTCTTTCTTTCTTTCTTTCTTTCTTTCTTTCTTTCTTTCTTTCTTTCTTTCTTTCTTTCTTTCTTTCTTTCTTTCTTTCTTTCTTTCTTTCTTTCTTTCTTTCTTTCTTTCTTTCTTTCTTTCCTTTCTTTCCTTTCTTTTCTTTCTTTCTTCCCTTTCTTTCCTTTCTTTCCTTTCTTTCCTTTCTTTTCTTTCTTTTCTTTCTTTTCTTTCTTTCTTTCTTTCTTTCTTTCTTTCTTTCTTTCCTTTCTTTTCTTTCTTTCTTTCTTTCTTTCTTTCTTTCTTTCTTTCTTTCTTTCTTTCTTTCTTTCTTTCTTTCTTTCTTTCTTTCTTTCTTTCTTTCTTTCTTTCTTTCTTTCTTTCTTTCTTTCTTTCTTTCTTTCTTTCTTTCTTTCTTTTTCTTTTCTTTCTTTCTTTCTTTCTTTCTTTCTTTCTTTCTTTCTTTCTTTCTTTCTTTCTTTCTTTCTTTCTTTCTTTCTTTCTTTTTATGTCTGTGCTGTATGTCTGCCCATCCCCTCTCTGTCTCCCGACTTGCAGTGTTCACTCCAGCCCCAAACTTTTTTGTAACACGCACTCGTGATCACATGTACACGCGCCAAATGAGGTAGAAGGCCGGTTTCCCTCCTGGTCGCCATTCCTTCCCAGACCATCCTTGGTGTTTCTGGAAATGGCCAAGTACTGTTTTATACCGGGTCTTCCTCAGCGCCTACTGGTTGGACAAAATCCTGCCACTTTCTAGGATTGAACCCAGACCACTGCCTTACAAGCTTACCCACTAACTGCCACGATACCACCGCTGAAAAATAAAGACACAAACAACATTACAACTTGGTAACTTGCTTCGATTCTTGGATTACTGTCTAACTAGATGGATGTTATGCAGATGTCCAAGTACATGCATTCTAACCGCCTGATGCAGCATGTCGGATGCAGTATGTAACACTATCACGCACTCAAAATATTGAACAGCTTGCCTTCTGAATCCCCCGCACTTTGTACATGAATATTGTTGACGTATGATGTGTCTTTACATAGAAGTAGAGTTGTGATTCGCACGCCCATAACATCCGACCTTCCTGGTCATTTTACAGCTACATGCCAGGAACTGCCACTCTTTGTCACCGAATTCTTTAGATCAAGGGCCATTCATTCAGTTAATAATAATAAGAAAAACTCCATGGTGGGAGCATGCACAGCAGTGCGTTTAACGATCATCAGCAAAAGGGGTCACTGCTGCAAACGACCCAACAGTTGTGACGATTGTTTCTCAGTGCCATGGGCTGCACGTAGTTGTCACGAACTCCCTGTCATTGCCAAACAACTCCCTGTCGTTGTCATGAACTCCCTGTCGTTGTCATGAACTCCCTGTCGTTGTCATGAACTCCTGTCATTGTCAAACAACTCCCTGTCGTTGTCATGAACTCCTGTCATTGTCAAACAACTCCCTGTCGTTGTCATGAACTCCTGTCATTGTCAAACAACTCCCTGTCGTTGTCATGAACTGCCTATCGTTGTCATGAACTGCCTATCGTTGTCATGAACTGCCTGTCGTTGTCATGAACTCCCTGTCGCTGTCATGAACTGCCTATCGTTGTCATGAACTGCCTGTCGTTGTCATGAACTGCCTGTCGTTGTCATGAACTCCCTGTCGTTGTCATGAACTGCCTGTCGTTGTCATGAACTGCCTATCGTTGTCATAAACTCCCTGTCGTTGTCATGAACTGCCTGTCGTTGTCATGAACTCCCTGTCGTTGTCATGAACTCCCTGTCGTTGTCATGAACTCCTGTCATTGTCAAACAACTCCCTGTCGTTGTCATGAACTCCCTATCGTTGTCATGAACTCCCTATCGTTGTCATGAACTCCTGTCGTTGTCATGAACTTCCTGTCGTTGTCATGAACTTCCTGTCGTTGTCATGAACTTCCTGTCATTGTCAAACAACTCCCTGTCGTTGTCATGAACTCCCTGTCGTTGTCATGAACTCCCTGTCGTTGTCATGAACTCCCTATCGTTGTCATGAACTCCTGTCGTAGTCATGAACTCCCTGTCGTTGTCATGAACTTCCTGTCGTTGTCATGAACTTCCTGTCATTGTCAAACAACTCCCTGTCGTTGTCATGAACTCCTGTCGTTGTCATGAACTTCCTGTCATTGTCAAACAACTCCCTGTCGTTGTCATGAACTCCCTGTCGTTGTCATGAACTCCCTGTCGTTGTCATGAACTCCCTGTCGTTGTCATGAACTCCCTATCATTGTCATGAACGCCTGTCGTAGTCATGAACTTCCAGTCTTCGACTCCAGTTGTCACAGATTTCCCGCTCACTCTCATTTACATACATAAATAAGCAGTGAACAAACGGCAAGCCGTGTACTGTGGTATCTATCAAATGTGGTAATAAAACTTGAAGTCGGCGTTATTGAATGTTTAATTTTTTTCCCCAATCTGCAGGCTGGAAAGTTTGGCATGGTTCAGCCTCCATACCATGGACTTGTTATGTACAATGACTTCACACAGCCACCACCTGCACATAAAGGATACCCACCAGTCTATACGGACCCTAAAACAGGTGAGTTTGTCCCATAGTCGCTGTTGTGTGTGTGTGTGTGTTTTAAATTGGGGGAGGAGGGGGGGGGAGGCGTCGAAGGCTAAGCCCGATAGGATACCTGTTATATAATCAATACAAATAAACAAGAGGTTATTATAAACTTAAAGTCTAACCGGGAAGGTTAACGCTTTTAAAAAATGCCTGCAGAAGTCAGATGTGTTGGCCAAAAGGCGCAGATATCGCAGCCTGGATGTAAACAGGCACAACGCCATTACACCTTTAGATGAACGAAGAAGAAGGACTTAATGGGCTATTTTCTGTTTAGCGATCACATCACGTATGATGGTTAGTATTAAATGAATGACGACTACTACTAACCATAACCCCCATATAATGTGGGATGTCCCTAAATCACGCGTGATGTAGTCGCTAAACAGAAAAGAACCGCTTAATGTAACAGCCCCCCCCCCCCCTTCCCCTCCCTTTCCTCTCCTCTTCACCCCTGGACACAGCACCAGCCAGAAAACAGACCGTCACACAAAGGGTGACAATTCATATAATAAAATAAAGAATATTTTAAGACAGTTGGACTTTAAAAAAAATATATTGAAAACAAAGCCAGTATCAAATACTAAAGCCAAGGCAAATCCAGATATAAAGCAGTTCCAGAATAGAATACAAACCAGGATAGAAAATACAGTAAAAGATAAATCCGGGTAGAAGATACAAAAGAAGACAAATCTGGAAAGAAAATACTGAAGAAGACAAATCGATATAGAATACACAGTAGAAGACGAACCTGGATAGAAGAGAGAATAGAGGAAATCTGGATAGAAAATACAGTTTAAGACAAATCTGGATAGAAGACAACATGAAAGAAAAAAAAATGCAATAGAAAACATTCTGATACAAGAATCACTATGAGACAAAACTTAATTGAAGACTCAGTAACCGGCAAAGGCCAGTTGAAGACTAGGGTAGAAAGACAGAAGCGATGCCACGCGTTGGTAATGCGTTATTAGATGGAAGAACAACTGGCATAATCAAAGACAACTAAGTCAAACACAGGCTAGTAAAAGATACTAATCAGGCACAAGGCACAGTAGACTGTGAAGCGAGAGCCAAACTAAATAGTTGCGAAACCAAATTCAAAAAGACACGCTAGCTCCACTCGCACCCTTTTATCCACCAACATGCTCACTAACGCCTAACGCAGGTTCATCGCGCGCGAACACACACACGCACGCAAACACACACGCACACACGAAAGCCAGACGCGAGACAGTAAAAACACGATAATGATACGTATACAAAAAGCACAGCTATAATGCAATAAAAGAAATAGACCAGAAGCTTTCATGAAAAGAAAAGGCACTTTATAAAATACAAAATTATGTGAAATAAGCATTAAGAAAATTTGTCAAGAGGGAACGATGTTGAATAGATTGAGCAAATACTGATGGAAACCGTCCAATGCCTTTAGAGACTTGCACACACACAAATGTATGGCCACGTCAAAACTATGAGATTGAAATGCTAGGGAAACGAATCGCTATAACATGGAAGCAACCAATAATGATTGTCGCCAAAGAAATCCCCGGAGAAAGTGTCAGGGCATTGAAGATGCGATTTTAACCAGGCCACTTTTATTCAAAGCCAGCATTGAAATTAAAAACTTTAGCTTTCTTAGAAGAAAAAAAAGCACAAAGATGCCTCACGGGGGACAGAGGTCTCTATAGACGGTCCTGATCTGGGGGGACAAGGACATACCAGACTCACCTCCAAGAAAGCATTGAGTAATTAACAGACACGCGTGGTTGTGAGATGCGGGAGGGGTTGTTAATTATTGGAAATCTTAATTTCATGAAAACACTGATCAAAAGGCTTCAGTTTTGTGAAACTGGTGTCCATTATTCAAGTTTTGTGTGCGTGTGTGTATGCACAGAGATGGTAGGATTCATAATTTACTTAAATTAGGAATCATAATTCTCGTTTTGAGTTGTGGAACAAAAAGGCCATTGTTAAACAAAAATCTAAAATACGTGAAAGCATCAACCTCACCATTGTCACAATAAAAATAGGAATAGACCCACTACATCCCCAACAAACATGTTGAAAGAATCGACTAATTTGGGGCTTTCTGCGGGAAAGGCAAACAACCAACCGTCTTCATACAAATAAGCTAAATCTGTAAAATGGATATGCACGCAACACTTAGGTTCTTGTGTCAAGACTAAAGTCCATGGGCGGATGCACAACAAGAACTTTCCTGCTAGAGTTTACAGACGGTGAACGCAGAAAAGATGATCATTGTTGGATTGTTTGTTTCGTGTAGAATTTTGGTGACGCATGACATGCAATTATCATCATGATTGTTAGTTAGTGTTTAATGTTAAGCACTTGAGCTGCTGGTAAAGCTGTGCAGCTTCCTTGGTGCAGTGTCTTGTCTACAGAGATACATCTTTTCATTCCTGATCTTTAAATGTTCATTGTGTATCCTTTTCTCTTGATCAGTATGATTATGCGTCTTGCTGTTGGTTGTTTCGTATCTCATAATGTGGCTTCTACTTTGGCCTTAAAGGGGCGATAGGCACCTTGTGTTCTAGTTTACAGCCAGTAAAATTGACCCGTTTCCACGACTTCAGACGTATTGGGCACAGTGGGCTTGACCTGTATTTTACAGACCAGTCGGAAGGATGTGATCAGCATCACGTCGGCTGCTTTTACTTCCCATGACTCCACCTGGTATCGATTCAACGATCGACGTGGAAGTCAAGGCCATGTAAAAAATATTCCGGTACAGTACAAGTACAGCTAAGCCGCTGTGATATTTGTGCCTGCCAGCCCAACACACTTGATTTCGGCAAACTTATTAGTAGTCGCCTTTTATAACATGTTTGTTAGAATGGCAGTGAGTCTGTTTTTCCGCATCGCCCAACCCCACCACCCCTCTTTTTTGCACACACAACAAAATGGGCCTGGACCCAGAGGAGGAGGAGGAGTGTGACCAACACTTGAAACATTTCTTCAGTGTTTACAAGGCGTTTTAAAACTCGCGACCAACACTTGAAACATTTCTTCAGTGTTTACAATGCGTTTTAAAACTCGTGACCAACACTTGAAACATTTCTTCAGTGTTTACTGGGCGTTTTAAAACTCGTGACCAACACTTGAAACATTTCTTCAGTGTTTACAAGGCGTTTTAAAACTCGTGGCCAACACTTGAAACATTTCTTCAGTGTTTACAAGGCGTTTTAAAACTCGTGACCAACACTTGAAACATTTCTTCAGTGTTTACAAGGCGTTTTAAAACTCGTGACCAACACTTGAAACATTTCTTCAGTGTTTACAAGGCGTTTTAAAACTCGTGACCAACACTTGAAACATTTCTTCAGTGTTTACAAGGCGTTTTAAAACTCGCGACCAACACTTGAAACATTTCTTCAGTGTTTACAAGGCGTTTTAAAACTCGCGACCAACACTTGAAACATTTCTTCAGTGTTTACTAGGCGTTTTAAAACTCGTGACCAACACTTGAAACATTTCTTCAGTGTTTACAAGGCGTTTTAAAACTCGTGGCCAACACTTGAAACATTTCTTCAGTGTTTACAAGGCGTTTTAAAACTCGTGACCAACACTTAAAACATTTCTTCAGTGTTTACAAGGCTGGAAAGATAAGGCCAAACATAAAGATGGATGGAGGCGGTAATAGGCAGCAGTGAACTTCGAAGCCAGACGAAAAAGAAGAAGAAGACAGAGGAAAAGTATGTCGCCTTTACAGACACTTGCTACATAGTTTAAGTCTTATCGACCTTCGCAGCTTTGTAATCATAGGGAAAATATAGTCCTTTCTGAATTTAAACATAATGCCTATGAACCGGCAAGCTTAGAGATCACTTACTATTGCCTTATGTCGATTCCCAACAGTAAATCAGTCATGATTAAGAGCCATCTTCACATTGACAGTCGGCTGCAGTGAGCCTTCAGCATTTTGCGTTCTAACTTGAGATATCGTGAAAGTCAGTTTAGACATTTATGACAAATGATGTACGTAAATCTAAATAATAATAATAATAATAATAATAATAATAATAATAATAATAATAATAATAATAATAATAATAATAATAATAAATAAACAGGGGGAGGGGAGTGGTAGATGAGTGGTTTCAAACTCGAATCATGGTACACGTAAAAATTTATATTTAGCGTTTAAGAGGCATGTAAATAGATGGATAGATTAAGTAAATAAAACCTGGTAAATTTGTGGAGATATTAAGTATACAGAGGCATAGTTAATGTGTGAAATTTATAGAGATGTGGTAAATATATGGTCATATTAAATACATAGAGAAAATCAGTATATAGATTGAGTAATATATGGAGACATTTAGTGTGTAGAAAATATTTACGGGTGGATATGTGGTAAATTTATGCGTATGTACTTAATGTAGTATAGAAAGTGTATAAAAGCGTGGTAACCATATTGATACTTTTTAAGTATATGGAGAAAGACAAAAGAAACCTTGTGTCATGCCATGAGGTATGTCCTGGGTTTGCCGACTATGGCCACCAGAAATACAGTTGCACAGGTAAAAGCGTTAATGAGAATATCAGCAGACATCAACCACCCACTGCACAACGCTATCAATGATATAAAAGGGACGCGTCTCAAAAGAGGCTTCTCCTGGATGTGTCCTAGACGAGATCAGTCACGGAAAAAAATTGACGGATACACCAGTAGACCTGCACGACTTGTCTGAGGTTGTCATAACGCTGGGGAGGTACTGCTGGAATCATACCTGCCACCGTAGACGACTAGATTAGACCACTGATTGATCAGCACTCACGCACAGAAGACGTCATAATTTACACAAATCCTTGAAGCGCGGGACAAGATCAGCATGGGCATACACAGCACAAAGGATGGGGAAAAAACACGTCCAGCTGTATCTTTCAGTCCTGCCAACTGAACCACGGTACATTTTCGGGGAGTCCCCCTCGAAAATAGGTTACTGGCA